TTTTAGACGCATGGTTTCTTCATAAAATGTTGTAAGAATTACATGTAGAATACTCCTATGCTATGCACGCATATTCAAAAAAAATTACCCGCCCTAATATACATATATACATACATATGTATATTAGGTTTTCAACCAGAATTACAAAATTTATTATATCATAAAGACTCTTAACTTACTTAAACTCTTCTATTATATGATGTGATTTTTTTTTGGAAAAAGTATTTTTTACGATCAATTTTATTTATCGGTTTCTTGAGGTATTTTCTGAAGTATTTTGGCGGAAGTCTTAAAATATAATAGACTTTATAACTCCGATGAAACAAATGACTTTTTTTATGGAGAGTGATGCACCCTAATATACATAGAATGTAAGACATAAATTTCAATGTTTTATTTTGAAAATTTTTTATTTAGAACAACAAAACAATAAACAATTTCATAGACACATAAACATTTTCATGGAACAACAAAACAATATACAATTTCATAGATAAGTACATTAGCCTGGGTCGATTTTTTCCCCCTTCAATGAGTATAGCAAAAACGTAATCCCGCAAAATTTTAAGAAAATCTTTCCTTGAAACCATAGGTGTCAAATGAATTAGAAGTCCACGAAAATTGGTGTGAAAATTCCAACTCCAGAAAATTTCAAGAACAACTTCTTTTTTTCAGCTTTATGCACGGCGCCACCGCATTGCGCAGTTTGTTTATTGCATTTAGTTATAAAGGAAACAGTCTGCAGGAAATCGCGGTAGCAAACAAAATACAGCGTATAGTGTCGATTAGTAAATATAATTTGAAAAATATACATAATTTAAGAGTTCTAAATTTTTTTACAACGGGATGTCTATATTTTTTTTTTCGTGTCAAAAACCGGTACGTTTTGCGTCCCGGCATGTTTTGTACCGGGACCGGGACATAGCTTTCAAATCCGGGACAGTACCGCCGAAAACGGGACGGTTGGCAACCGTGCTTGAAGATGACGAAACTTTAGAGCATATTCTCTGTTACTGTCCGGCTTTGGGCAGACAAAGATTGACCCACTTAAAAGCTTCAATGGTCGAACCCTTTGTTACAAACCTACCAAGGCCCTTTTAGGATTCATTAGGGAAGCTGAAGGTCTCTTGGCTACACTGTTTTAGGCACTTACTATATAAGAGGTACTTAAGATCTTTCAGGTCGCGGTGTCTCTAGTTCTGTTACATCCAAAAATTACTAACTAACTATCTAACTAATCACTGTGCTTTAAATCAAGCTCTCTACAGCACTGGCAAAATGTGGCTAACCATAGGTGAAAGAACTTAAAATCCCGTACAAATGCGACAACATAACCAAATAATTCAATAACTAGGCAGGCGTGAATACATTATTTACTTGACTAAATTTTGTTCAAATTGAATTCACAATATTAATGATTTAAAGCCCTCAGACATCACTAAAGCTTCAGTGCTGCACCACCCGCAGCGAAAACTAATTTAGTTGCGATAAAAAGACAAAAAAAAATTTAATAAAATTTTCTAATAACACGTAGCCAAAGTACATACATAGTTGTGGTGGGTGTCAAACGTGGTTAAAATAGAGCAGTCACCTCATTTCAACTAAACCTACATATATTGTGTGTTAGGGTGGGGTGGAACAAGAAGCTTTGTGTTTCGAAATTCGAATAGCGGGAAATCGTTGCTCTTGGAAGTTAATAGAGTATCCTTAATTTATCATTTTTAGAAAACTTTTAGATATGCAGTTTTGTAAGCCATTAAATTTTACAATAATAAAGTGCAAGTTTAAAGTTGCTTAGACTTAGCCTCGATTTTATTTTATTTTTTTGGTGAATGTGTTGCTTATTTTCTCCATTTAAAAACCTTGTCGAACATACTTCATACATGCATCAACAAAAAAACATTGCCAACAGTATTTTGTAGCCACCGTGAACTTGCTCTTTATTATCTCAAACTTAACTGCATTTCTAGAATTTTTCTAAAGGGGATGCAATAATTATTAATCGATTCTAAAAAACAAGTGTGGGATATTCTATTGCCGTCCAAAGGCAATGATCTCACGTTATAAGAATTTCAAACGCAAATTTTTTTTTTGCGCTCCACCCTATTGTACATACAACAAAAAAAAAGAAAGTGATAAGAGAGAGAGAGAGCATTCATTTTACTTAATTGGTACAAATTTCGTAATAAAACAGCAGCCAGGAATATTACTCGCTTAGATGTCAAGTCGCGGGACAATTCCCGCAAGTAGACAAGTGAAATTTGTCTCCAGGATATTGATGCGGTGTCAAGCTGGCGCGAAAGAGGGTCAACAACATGACTGACAAGCTAATTACATCTACATCAGCAACAGCAACAGCAACAGCATCAGCATCAGCTTCACCTCCGCATCAAACACACCTGTTGTCAACATCAACAGTACAGTACAGGCGAATGAATTTTAGCATAAAATATTTTGGCCTAAGCAGTTGTAATTATTTATGTTGCGGCAAGTACAAGCCGCCAGTTAAAGCTAGTATAAGCCTGCACCACTAACCGCAGCAACGAAATAAATAACAACAATATAAACCAAACTTACCGACACCAGAGCTGAACAAATGTCTAGCAAATATACCGACAATTTCGAAATGCAAATCAGTGAGTGAAAAGTTGCATGGTTAATAAAGTTTGGTCTCAGTGGTTTTGGGTAAATAAAACGAATATAAATATTTTGAAAAGCCAAAACAAAGTGTTTGTCTTTTGCGGTTCAAAGGGTAGATCAGGTAGGGGAGGTATTTCTAATGAAAATTTAGGACAAAAATTTTGAACAGGGGATATTCTGCCGAAATCCGCAATAAAATCTGCGCTTTGCTAACTTTAATCCTCCAATTGTGTGCCCAATTACCACACAAATATTATCTCTGGATAGGTGTTCTATCGGAACCCGCAATAAAATTTACATTTTTGCAAAAACCTGATTTTTAACACCTTGCTAAATATATCTCTTCATAAGCTTGCGAAAACAAACTACAAGAAATTTTTGACTACTACAAAATAAACAATCTTGTTATAAAAAAAAAAAATAAATAAAAAACTTTAAATAGTTCTTGAAAACGCCAATTTTCTTGAACCATATTTTATCAATCGCGTCCGAGTACTTCTCAATAAGGCTAGTTTTGGGTGCCGGATCACAGTGACATCGCGGGAAACTGAGTGGATGATCACCTGGCGTTGAAAAGGCATCTTAAAACATTATCCCCATATAAAGAGCAACTAGCGCCGCCTCAGTTCTCCTGCGGTACACTCTTGGACGGTTGGGCCTCGTGTCAGCTCGGCGAGCGCTCGAATAACACAAGAACATGCGCAATTGCCAGATCCTTCTGGCCTGGGGTGAACCGGCGGCAGCCAAAGGAGCTCCTTACGCTTGAAAAGCCTCAGCTCTCGCTAGGGGGTGGAGGTTCTGACAAGCCATTGTGCCATTGGTATTCACGCGGTAAGGCTAGGAATTTCAACTGATCACTTTTGTAACAGCTGTCAAGAGGAAGATGACTTTATTCTAGATTGTCCAACCTTCGCTGGGCTAAGATGAAAGCATTTTCGCTCGCACTTCTTAACTAAAATTGAGCTCTCCGGCATCGATATTAGCCATGTTTCGCCATCTAAATTAATGATCTCCGTTCAGTTTTTTCGTGGTATCACAAAGGACATTCTCTTAATTGGCCACGTGTCCCTTGCCTGGGGCAACCTAACATAAACTTTTTTGAGCTATGAAATAGTTGGTCACATTATGTATGCAACTCCTCGGTTTGGTTTGCTCGTTCCCATTGGTTTCAGTTCTAGTGTCATTCAAAATTTAAGTACATGTTGAAAATCGATCATTAAGACGAGGTGGTTGTTCTTACAAGAAACCGTTTTTACATACAAAATATTTTCGACTATTTTTTTATATGGAAGAAAATGGGCAAACAAAAAAAATCGTAAAAAATGAACGGTAAGTCCTAGCTACTTCAAACTTGCACTTTATTGGACTAAAATTTGATGGGTTACATAACTGCATATTCAAAATCTTTCTAAGAAATCTAGTTTAAAAGCTCGAAGTTTTTACTAAAGTTTGTTGATTTATTATTATTTTTTTCTTACAGTTCGAAACTCATTTATACGGTATCAGGAATAAACTATATTCTTATAATAATACAATTCAAATTAAATAACAAAAAAAAAACTGTTGAACTGGTGGTAGCAGCAAAGGTAGCAGCTAGTAGCTGATTGGACTTTTTCGTGCATTTAATAAGTGCCACACTTCATTTATCTATTTTGACACTTAGAGTCCAAAACCAATTATAAACTACACATAGCTTTTTGGTTTTTGTCTGGTGATGTTGCCTATTCAATTTGGCTTGGTAAGTATTACTTTTTTCATTACTTGCAACCTTATTTTTAATTTTTACTGCTTTAAAGGCAGACACACATATACATATATTTTGCAGGGTATATACATACAGCTTTGATTAGATTTAATGCTCATGAAAAAGTCTGAAAACCCTTTTTGGCGCTCGCCCTGCTAACAAGCCTGGCAATATTTCAATTAATTGAAGTAAAATTTCGAGTGAGCCTTATTGAGGGTAACCATATACTTGTACATAAGTACCTATGTACGTACATATGCATTTACTAAAAAGGACAACAATTTCCGCACACTTGCATAAACTAACGTAAAATGGACCCCAATTAGAGAGTATTTATGAAACTTCCAACCTGCCAAGCTGAAAACCATATCCAACTCAATTGCCACTGGGCGAAAAGCCAAAAGCGAAATGGGTGGCCGTGACCAACAGAATGGGTGGTTCCCTTCGAGTACAATTGTACATAAGCATAAGCATTAGGGTTGTCCAAATAGGCATGTAGGAAAAGTAATGTAGACAATAGTTAAACTAGTTTTCTTTTTTTTTATCAAAAATTGTCTAGAGGTCGGTCAAAGCGCTAAAAATTATTTTATACAAACAATTTTTAAAATTTTTTTTTATAAAACAAACCAAGGATTTTATATTGCGGAAAAACTATTTTTCGTAGAAATGTTATAGAATCCGTAAAATATTGTTTTTTCTGTTGGCAAACAAAGTTTCTCCTCAGGAGACTTCAAGGAATAATACCGAATTGTATATTTAACAACTTTTAATATTAATAATAATATTACGGGTGCGTTTTTTGTGGTTATTGGGGGACCTATGAAAATTATTTAATATTAAAAAATAGTTAAATATGAAGAGAAACAGAATTTTCCAAAAAATCCCATTTTTCCCCCTATTTAAAATACATGAGAAACTTTGAGCGCTTTGAGCAATCTTTAAATAGTTTTTTTTTTCAAAAATGGTATACTTTTAGATATATGGGGTGAGAGCGTTAAAATTTTGTATTCAATTTCTTTGTACCGCCCTAATGTTGCAAACATACTTTCACAGTTTAGCATATATTCGTAGCATTTTTCTTATTCATTAGATAAAATTTGATAACAAAATGGCAGGTTGGCTTACTTGTGCACAAACGCTATCAGATCCGCTGCACGACCCGAACCATCACATACCACCACTGGCACTGGCGGTGTGTCCGTCACGTACTCTAATACCGCACGTACCGTATTTGTACCTCCTTCGATAACCAGACAGACGACCGGTGTGCTGGAATGTGTAACTGCAAGAGAGATAAGAAAAACAAGTGAGGAGTGCAATAAATATAAATAAAAGCAGAAAATGAGTATTTGTGAAAATTTCATTATATCTAAAATGTAGAAAAGCAAACGGATATCAGTGGTCGCTCACAAACCACAAATAAACAAACAAAAAAAGGTTTAAATAAAATGCGTTACAATTCGCTTTTTATTTGGCACTTAGTTTATCATTTCGTGAAATATTACTTGACAGTTGAGTCAAATGCGGCGGTGCGTGCAGCATTCAAATTCGCGTAATT